ATTGCTGTTGGCTTATCAGTAGGTGGGATTTACCCCCAGGTCAATCAGCTGGAAGGACTGGCTATGACCACCAACCACTGACCTTTGACCACTGTGGATAATCAACTGTGTAGGGGCCCACCTCATAGAGCAGGACTTACTTCAGTGGGGCTATAGTGCTCGCTGAATCTGATCCTTGAGTGTGTTGCCTATGAGATGGTTGAGCCATGATGCTTTCACATAGTCTAAAGCTGTCCACTAAGTTACTGTCTGTGAGGCTTCCCAGAGGTACAGACCAAGATCAACCATTGCTTTTGTTCTGCCTGGGGCCACCCAGCATGAGCTACAAAGCAGTCTGCAGATGGCTGCTACTTGTGCTGGGTTTGGAGTGCCCAGGGGAGGCCCAAGGCCTGCTGCTGTGAGTACCACTCTGGGGCCACTTAGCGAGAGGTACGGGGCATGCTGAGGCCAGCTGCTGCTTGTTTGAGAGATTTTTAGGAGAATCTGAAGCATATAGGCCATTTGTATTGTTATGGGTTCACTCAGCAAGATAGACCACCGACTCAGAATTTAAATTTAAGAGCCTTTATTAAGCTGGCCAGCAAACTACAGTTACAGCACCCTGCCGAAGCAGAGGCTGAACTGCAGCCCTGACTGCAAGAGTTACATTTTATTATTAAATTTTGTGGAGGCCCAGAGAAAAATGTGTCTTTCAAATTCTGGGCCCCCCAATATGGAGGAAACTCTCTTTATTTATACTTTTTCCAGTCCTTTGTCTCCCAAATTTGGAATGAGACTTCTGGGCCTTCTGAGAAAGAAGGCCTGCGTGCTGGGAAGGGGCCATGAGACCATATCTCAAGGTCTGGCCTGATGTCAGTACCTTCCTATCTATGTGTTTTAGGAACAGATAGCACAGCATGACTCTGTCTGGCCGAAGTGCCAGATATGCAGCCCAGCACAGTATGGAAAAGCTGGTGGAAACAGCTTAGGTGAGCGCGAAAGTTGTGAAGTTGTATGTCATGGGGCCTCAAGGAATCACTGTGGGGGGAGGGGTGTGTGTGTGCAAGGACAAACAGTGTGAGCCATGTTGATGGAGACTCGGATATGACTCCCACATGCCAGCTCTGTGAGGGAAGGCTCATCCAAGGAACAATGGACTCTGCCAGCACTTCTGTCTGGGAGAAGGTTGTTTGCCCAGCTCTTGCCCTGATGCCAGACAATTTTGTTCCTCCCCATATGTCTCTGTTGCTTTTCAAGCTGCAGTCCCAGCACTAAAGCTCAGAGGGAGTGAGTCTGAGTAAGTCCCTTCATGGGCCCTTTAAGAGGAATTGCCTGGGATTCCAGCAGCCTTTGTCTTCCTCAGCTTCAATCCCTGCTGGTTTTTACAACCCGAAATCATGAGGACTTCTCTTCCTAGCACTAGAACCCAGGTTTGGGGGTCTGGGGACACTGGTGTAAGGCTGGGACTCCTTGCTCCTCAAGGTGGGGCTCCACAGCTGAGATATCCCTTCCAATTTTTATCTGCCACATTTTGTTTTGGTACCAGCCTGTTCCACATCTTCACCTCCCTTAACAGTCTGGATATGGCTTCTTCTTTAATTCCCTAGTTGTAGGACTTCCATTCAGCCAGATTTCAATTGGTTCTGAATGATGGTTAGTCTGTAATTTAGTTGTAATTTTGATGTGATTGTGGGAGGAGGTGAGTACCACTCTTACTTATGTCACCGTGTTGTTCAGAAGTGAGAGTTTCCAGAACTAAATCTTGGTGAATGTCCTTTCCAAGAAACAACACATCCTTCTACCACATGTCCAAGAAACTGCAGCATGGCCTCCCATTTGTGAGCACTCAGGTTTTTTCTGAATGTGCTGTAGCTAACATAAACCCCTGTATTGTGGATAGTGAAAAAGTTACAAAAGAATTAATAATCAAGCCCTGACCAGTTTGGCTCAGTGGATAGAGCGTCGGCCTGCGGACTGGGGGGTCCCAGGTTCGATTCCAGTCAAGGGCATGTGTCTTGGTTGCGGGCACTTCCCCAGTGGGAGGTGTGCGGGAGGCAGCTGATCGATGTTTCTCTCCCATCTATGTTTCTAACTCTCTATCCCTCTCCCTTCCTCTATGTAAAAAAAAAATCAATAAAATAAAAAAAGAAAAAAAAGAATAATAAAAATAATAAGCTGTGACTTCAATAGCTTAATTGCATAGATTTCAGACTTATCTTTTCTAAATACATTTATACATATTCTCAGTTAACGCTACCATGTGTTCTGCTCCCTTGGAAGTAAAACCTGATACAGCACTGATGGAGTCTTTTAGCACCCTTAAATGTATTCGTATTCCCATTTGTTCTGTGTAACAGTTATAATAATAATGTTTATATTGTGTGGGTATTCTTGAATTTATCCTTTAAAAGATTCAGAATAGAATCTATTACTATGTGATGTCTTTAGATTTTCTTTGAAGACATCTTGGGACTTCTTTGAACTTCTTATTTTAAGATAATGAAATTCCTTTAAATTTTACCTGAATTCCTTGTTTATATTTCATAACATTAGAAAGATTATTTTTAATATTGAAGTAGTGAATGTCTTTTTCCTTGATGTTTTTAGATGTCTACCAGAAGTTCATATAATGCTATTCTATGACTTTGTTAGCTTTATTTTACTAAGTTTATCCTATAATATATTTTCAGTTGTCTTTTAAATTTAAGATATTTTGCCAGGTTTTTAAAATTAAAGGAAGATCTTCTTTGTAGTTTATTGTTATACATTTAAATATGCTACACATCAAATTTAAGGTATTCATGTGAACTTCACGTTTCTAGATTTAAAAAATAGCCATTATCCTAAAACAAACAAAAATCTTGTATTCACATCGAAGCAAAAACAATCTTGAGTATTTTTATTTATAACTAGTAAGGTCACCTAAATCACATTCAAGAAAAATAGTTTATAGCTATTGTTTTTCTACCTTTTAGTTTTTATTTTTCTATCTTTAAATTTCTACTTGTTCCTTTCCTAAGCATAAATGCTCTCTTGGAGGATTAATCAGTCAACCAGTATTTACTGGAAATATTTTATATGGAAGGCAAGGTGTTGTGAAATTCCCAGAGTATTTTAAGATTAGGTTTCTGCCCTATCTACTTAGAGAAGTAGGACATAATTATATCAAAACATAACTAGAGATTCTAGGTGATAAATGAGAAGTGTTAGATCCTTTCAAAAATCTTATTTGTAAATATTTTAATACCTTATAAATATTTTATTCTTCCTTCCCTTCTTGGCCTATTTACATGAGTGAAATTGTGGTCAAAAGGTTAAAATGAGCTTTCACATTTTCCTTATTAAAATTATTTATTGAGTTCATATTACTTTCTGTGCCAAATACTTGGCTAAAGCCTTTAATATTATCTCATTTAATTCTTGTAAAAACATCTGAAAGTAGGCATTTTCATTCCCATTTTCAGAAGAGGAAAGTGAGACAGAGAGTGTAAGTAACTTGCTCATGGTTACCCTAATTATTAATGAATTTGAATATAGGTCTCTTAGTTCAGTGGGTTTTTTTCTACTTACGTTATCAATGAGTTGTGGTTCTTTTTTTTTTTTTTTTTTTTTTAAATATATTTTATTGATTTTTTACAGAGAGGAAGGGAGAGAGATAGAGAGTTAGAAACATCGATGAGAGAGAAACATCGATCAGCTGCCTCCTGCACACCTCCTACTGGGGATGTGCCCGCAACCCAGGTACATGCCCTTGACCGGAATCGAACCTGGGACCTTTCAGTCCGCAGGCCGACGCTCTATCCACTGAGCCAAACCGGTTTCGGCGAGTTGTGGTTCTGTTCAATGATGATAGAAAAAGCTATGCGAATAAAGAATGATACTAAAGATTACAATTACAAAAGAACAAAAGGGGGAACGGACCTTTATCTACTGGTATGCGATATTAAATATTTTACATAGACTCATAATAGGTTGTTTATATAAATATCTAATGTATCATTTCATGGGTCTATTAACCCATGTTAAGAGATCCTATCTTTTATAATTCCAAATATGAAAGTCTTGAATATAGTGATAATTAAGGATCTATTATTCTTATGTTTTAAAGTTTTCAGTGTTTAATGAATAATAGAATATTATGTCCTGTTGCTACTAATAATGAAATTAATTACTAATAACAATAATTAATAAACAGGAGTAAAGATTACTTTAGTATCTAAAGTATTAAAGAACTTACTTGTTAAAATATATTTAATCAGATATGTCATGCCTAATTAGACATACTGGGTTTTTGTTTCAAATTCCTTTCTAGTCTGAAACTTTTGTGATATTATGCTGAACCTCTTTTATCATTATTTTTATTAGCTAGGTATTGAACTTCAGGTTCAGATTTTACTGTTTGCTTTTTCAAGATATTCTGGTAACTGTCACCTTTTTTGAAACTGAAGTATATTTGGGACAGAGACACAAAATAGGTGAATGAGATGTTCTCTTTGCTTATAGCACAGTGGTTCTCAACCTTGGCTGCACATTAGAATCACCTGGGAATCTTTTTAAAATCCTGATTTCTAGGCCTCATCCTCCGGAAATTCTGTTTCTTTGTTACTAATGTTGTGGCCCTACCCCATAACAAAGAAACAGAATTTCCGGAGGATGAGGCCCAAAAATCAGGATTTTAAAAAGATTCCCAGGTGATTCTAATGTGCAGCCAAGGTTGAGAACCACTGTTATAGCAGCTCAAACTGCTATGCTATGCTTCTGATAAATTCAGGCTCTGATCTCTCACAGCTACTGTGATTCTTCTTGTCTGACTCAACCTCCAGAGTGCCTCTGCCCTGCTCTAAGCAGACAGTATCTTCACAGTTTCTATGATACACTTTGCCAGTAAAGCTAATAGAACAATGGTGTTCACATGTAAGATCTACCCAGCCAATTACATATTAATTTTGTCTACAACCAGGTGTTTTCACTATCTCCTTTATAGGTAAATGGAAAAGTCATTTTTATTGTCTTTGTTTCAGCGTTCTTACTTCCGTACTCTGCTCATGTATGGATTCCACTTCCTGGTGTGGTTCCTTTGTGTCAAAGGAATCAGGGACACACAGTGTGGGTTCAAATTATTAACTCGAGAAGCAGCTTTACGGACGTTTTCATCTCTACACATTGAACGATGGTAGGTTCCTAACTGGAATGTATCTGGTATATCCTATTATACAGTGTTATTTCAGGTAATGAGAAGCAGGCCTGTATTCTCATAATGAACATCCAGGTTTAAACAGAATTGACACTTTTATATGTAATCTGTGCCTTTATACTTTTACTGGTTGGATATAAAGTTATGAATTCATTTTAATTATAGACAGTATAAATTGGGAAGACTGAAAAATCCTGTGTCCTTAAGCTTTCTTTTTTTTCTTTCCTTTTACAGGAGTTAAGTTCTCTCTCCTGCCTAAAACCAATCTGCATCTCCTTCCACCTTCTAAGAACCTAATCTTGTTTGCTTTTCTCTGTTATACATTTAGCCTTTTCCCCTCAACCACATCTTTCCCATCAGTTTTTAAAACAAGTTTAAATTTCTCTTGCCATTAAAAAAAAATTCTCTCTGTTGACTCCACCCCCTCCCAGCATCCCTTCAGCTCTAGCCCTATATGCTTTCATAGCTGACCTTTTCTTGAAAGAGTGGTCTGTATTCACTCTCACCATTTTCTCATTTCCCACTCACTCTTCACCCAACCTTAATATGAATTTTCCCTCATCCTTACCTTCATATTGTTAAATTCAGTGGTCAAGTTTTATATGACCATTTATTGTCTTAATTAACCCATCAGCAGCTCTCAATACTTCTGAACTCTCTGTCTTGAAATATGCTGTTCCCTCAGCATATCTTTATCCCCGATCTCTCAGTTCTTAACCTGTTTAGTGACTAACACTGTCACACAGAAGCTTGAAACCTTGGATTCAGCCCCAACACTTCCCATGGCCCTTCAACATATCCAATGCATGATCAAGGCCTGGGGATTTTAGTTTTATGTTCCTCCATTCCTTTTCATGTTCACCACCACTATTGAGTATATCATAATTTCCTATGCTTCACTCTAAGGGATCTTTTCAAAAATTAAAATGATCAACCAAATGCACCCTTTCTGCCTACAATCCTTCAGTGGCTTCCCATGGCCTTGGAAGTAGACTGATAAGCAGTATCAGTATTGATTCCTTAGTTTGGCCCACCTGAGTCTCCACATGCTGAGACTTCTCAATACTCCCCTTCTCAGCTTCTTTAGATCATCTGGCCCTTAGTTTCCAGACTTGATCAGATGCCCCTAATTCTATGCTATCGCAGTACCATAAGCCTTTTTTTGTAGCACATATCACATATATAGTATTTTCCCATGTAATGTTAATCTCTGCTAAAACATAAGCTGCACAAAAGCTAGAACTCCATCTGATTTTGCTTATTAATATAGTCTGTCTAATATAGTGCCTGGCACATCATAGATACTCAAAAATATTGTTGAAAAAATTAACACTTAGTGTTAGCCATGGGTTGTGTGTGAATTCTGTTCATGGGGACCATGGGGGAAATCTGCATAGTCCAGTAGATGTCCTTTTTGTATTCTCTCAACTTCTGTGCATCTATATTGCAAAAATCTGTTATTTCCCTAGATATAGATGTCTTATACCACCAAAAATCTTTAGAGAAACTATAGTTTCAGAATTAAAATTATCATTCAAACATGGTTTTTTAAATTTTTAACTAGATTTAAAATTTTTAAATCTATATTTGGTCTTCAAATTAAGATACATGCTTTGTTATGTTGAAGAATCAAATATACTGATAGTTAATGAACTCTAAAATTAGAATCTAATTTACGAAGCCACTCTGGAAGTAAAGCCCTCCCTCTGCATTACATATTTCTCAGTCAGCTGTTACTTCTAGAAGTAGGGTCAAAGAACTAGGTACCTTGTAGTTTAAAGGAAGGATTTACAAATGGAAAATATTAGGGTTAGGATTGATAACTTAAAATTCATGAAGGTTCCTCATTAGGTTTGTTCTATAGCAGCTTCTGCCAAAAGCAATAAAATATAAGACACAAATGCAAGCCATTTTTGTAATTTTATATTTTCTAGTAAGCCACATTAAGAAAGTAAAAAGAGCCCTGGTTAGTGTGACTCAGTTGGTTGAGTGTAAACCCATACACCAAAAGGTCGCCGATTTGATTCCTGTCAGGGCACATACCAAAGTTTCGGGTTTGATCCCCAGATGGGGTACAGGAGACAACTGATTGATGTTTCTTTCTCACATTGATGTTTCTATCTATCTATCTATCTATCTATATATCTCTTCCTTCCTTTCTCTAAAAAAAATCAATTAAAAAAAGAAAAATGAAATTTATTTTAATAATATACTTAACAAAAATATTGTCATTTCAGTGTGTACTCAGTTTGAAAAAGTATTGAGATGTTTAACATTCATTTCTTTGTATTATGTCTTCAAATTACAATACATTTAAATTCAGACTAGCTACATTTCAGGTGTCCAGTAGCCACATGGTGGCTACTGTATTGGACAACATAGTTCCAGGATATTGGGAGATTTTTAGTTAAAGAACATTTAAAAATTTTGTTTTTCTTCTTTAAATGTTATGCTCATGTGCATTCCTTTTAAATTATTTATTTTGACGTGGTTGGCATAGTACTGACCTGACTTAAAATTTTAGCCACTCACATTTCTTTATGGTCCAATTATGTTTGATTTGGACCTGTAAAAGAGAACTACCAAATATGCATGTATCAACTTAATTAGCAGTATTCTCCTTATCACTTTTCATCAATAGTTGTCATTTAAACATTTTCTTTAAATCAAAATCATGTACACATTTTTAGTCAAGAAAGACTAAAGAAAAGATTTTTTATATAGTATAAATTATAGAAATAAAGTTGTGCATCTGTTTATTTCCATACATCACCAGAGACTTGTTTCTTAAAGAATTTATCCTAAAAGATTCATTCAAATTTTTCAAATAAATTTCATTAAAACCCAAGTTGAGTTTCTAGGTATTAGAAAACATATAGCTGAAGTTAAAAGACTAGACATTTCTTATATTCAGAATTACAGACTTGAGTATAGTTAATGTTAAATATCCTATCTAATAAAAGACAAAAAAGGGTAATTAACTGTACCTCCGCTATGCTTCCCATTGGCTAATCAGGGCGATATGCAAATTAACTGCCAAGAAAGATGGCAGTTAACCGCCAACAAAGATGGCGGTTAATTTGCATACGCGCAATGATGGGAGGCGAAAGGGGAAAGACGGAAGAACCGTGATCGGAAACCCAGGCGGCAGGCCAGGCGACACCCCCTGACCGGGGGTGCCGGCTGCCTGCGGACCGTGATCCCCATGGCGATCGGAGGGAGAGAGAGCCGGGGCGCAGGCCAGGCGGCACCCGGGCACCCCAGCACCTGACATGCAAAGGTCAGGGATGAAATGACTTTTCCCAACCACATCTGCAAATATCCTGGGGAAGGCATCACTCAAGAGTTCACAACTCTCTTACTTGGCAAGGAAGAAAAAAGTTGGCAACGGAAACAATCCCTTACATCAAAGTTAAGGTCCCTCTGGGTAAAAAAGAATATTTCCAACGTAAAGAAGGGAGCAGGCAAAAATAATAGGTTCTCATGACTTCCACTGAATGTCGTGAGTGTGTTTTCCCTCCAGGTCCCGCGTGGATTAGGGTTCGGGATCTGAAAGAGGAGCCGCACACAAATGAGAGAGAAAAGAGACAAGAGACAATTTGGAAATGTTGGGGAGCCAGGCGGGTAGGTCCAACTCAAGGAGAGGGACTTCCACTGATGCTCAGGCTGCTCCAACCTTTTATTTGATCTGGGGTAGCGCTAGGGTAAGGAGGTTTATCTGGGGTAGCCCTAGGGTAAGGAGGTTTCAATGACACACAGATTAGCTCACCCACAGGCAATTTCCAGTAATAGGCAGACTATCTTATCAATAAGGATTTACATGATTAAAGGTAGGGAGGTTACTTCTGCTATTTACATGAATAAAGGTAGGGAGGTTGCTTCAGCTATTTACATGAATAAAGGTAGGGAGGTTGCTTCGGCTACCATTATCTAGATTAACTGGGTGGTGCACAGCCCTGACCTTTGCTAGGGTTTCAAGGTTACTAACTTTTGGGGGTCTCTGTCTATACTCAGCTAGTGAAGACAATAAATGGACTTCGGCAACTGAAGATTGAGCATATGACAGAGTCAAAACGAACATATAAATTAAAACAGACAGTGGACATTCAAATGACCTGAATCAACTGTCACTGTTTGTCCCAATAGCAGCAATGCTTATGTGATAATATAGTTTAACAAACATACAAAACAAGTCACATGATAAGAGAGGTTCAGCTCCTAAAGTAAATTGAATATGTTCTTTTAAAATTCTGATGTCCTTCCCTCTGACTATAATTCTTAATTTTCCAATCAGAAAATTACCCCAGGTGATCCAGTAACATGTAGAACTCCAGTAACCTAACTTATTTAAAAAAACAAACATCCCAACCATTTTTAAAATATTTAAATTGATATTTTAGGGTTAAAATTATAGAAGATATTTAGATCCAAATATATTTTCTGAATAGAAAATATTTCAGTTTTTGATTTAAAAAAAATAAACAAAAAAATATATAAGTGATACATTTTCCCAAGGAACTCTGAATTAGTACCTTTCCCTCTAACTTTCTTCAAATTAAGAGAATCTATGGAGTTCCCTATACTGCACAAGTTTTAATGAAAGAAAATAAGACTTTCTAAGAGCATCAAATACATGTTTTCTTATTTACAAACATATACACTCTTCTCTCTCTCTCTCTCTCCCTCTCTCTCTCTCTTTAAAATATATTCTTACTGATTCAGAGAGGAAGGGAGAGGGAGAGAGATAGAAACATCAATGATGAGAGAGAATCATTGATCGGCTGCCTCCTACACACCCCGTACTGGGGATCAGGCCAAAACCTGGGCATGTGGCCTGACCTGGAATCAAACTGTGACTTTCTGGTTCATAGGTCGATGCTAAACCACTGAGTCACACTGGCCGGGCTCAATTCTTATTTATAAATTCATTCCAAGGACATATACAGCTTGAAAAGCTTTGGAAGCAGTTTCAAAAAAAA